TTCTTCACACTTGTTTTACATCAATGGATCTGCATTTTCTGGAGAGTTATTTATAATGTTATAACCAGGGCCAACACTACAATTTGGGTGATAAAGGATAAACAGTAAGTATTCTCAAATATGTTGCTTCAACTGACTTGTTGACTTACAAGGACACTATACCTTCAGAGTGCACCCCGCTCCTCAAGTATATATCCTCAAGTGATTTTTAGTCTGTCCATATCTTACAGTATTGCTTACTTGTTCAGGCAAAAGATCATCCATTTTATATTTCAGTAAGCTATCACAACCACAAGACTTCTGATTTGTTTTTCTTTGGAAGTGTATGGTGTATCAGTGGCCGGCTATAATATTCACCTTATTACCCATTCAGGATTCTTAGACACTGTGCCCTTCAGATAGCTGCAGTCAAATATGTGTAGAATGTAGACAAAATATTCTGAACTTGAAATGGAAATCATGAATATTTCAAGCTTGGAACAAACTATCCAGTGTTCTGTAATTTTATCTCAGATATAATAGGCCTTTTAAAAGAAAATACTGGGATATTGAAATAGGTTGTTATTCCCTCAACTGTTCATTCCAGGTCTACAAATTTATATGGGGTAATAGGCTATAGTGACTTGCCTACCTACCAGCTAGTCTAGAGAAAAATATTCATGATTATGATTTTTATTATTTTTTCAAATTAATTTCCATAGTAAAAATGTACAAAAATAAGCACCTCTTTTGCAATGATTTCCCCTTAAATATTCCCAAAATAATTTTTCTGTTGTCCCGAGATGTTCATAGTTTGGAAATGAGACAAGAGATGACCTTTCTCATGTATCCAAGTAAATCTTTGAAAATCACTAAGGATTCTGCTATACGCTTTATAACTAAGATCCCTTATATATTTACATGTCTAATCTTTGAAATGAGGAGGTGATAAACTGCCTGGGAAAGCCAAAGTAAATCATCAAAACTATAAAAAGTGAAAGTTACAATATTTTGGAGATGTGATGTGACACCTGGAAAAATATGGCATACTTCATTAATTCTCCAGGCAAATATTGAAGGCAAAAGAGGTCAAGGCAGAAGAAGAACATCATGGCTTCAAAATCTAAGGGATTTAGAAAAAACTCAGCAGCACTTTTTAGTGTGGCTTTTGATAAAATAGGATCGCCAATATGATCACCAATGTCCGACGATAGATATGGCACAAGAAGAATCTTTTGTTAATTGAGTTGGAAAAACTAAGGATGTGCAAAACTCAATTATTTAGGAATAGAATGTTCTGCGGTTCTCTAAAAAACTCAGAAGGTTCATGCTAGAGAACTATTTTCTGAGTTGTTTTGCAGATTCCTAAGAGATAACTAATTTCCTCTAAAAACTGTGATTTTGATATAGTAGTTGAATCTACTGTCCTCATTATTTCTCCTACTTTTACAAAAATCTTCTTTTGGCAAAATGTATGTTTGTCTCTTTTTCCCCTAAAGTTTTATTGACAGGTATTTTTAAAATATTATGGACTATGCAGGATAAAAAAACAGATTATATACCCACCAGTATGTACCAGCTCCTTGAGATGTCAGCTCCATGCCATCAACTGAATTGTAACTGTCATCGTCCATGATTTTTGAGAGGCCGAAGTCAGTGATTTTAATTTCACCACAAGCAGTACCGTTTACCAAGAGGATGTTTCCTGGGCAGGAAAAAAAATGAAGTTGAACAGGCCTATTAAGTATGAGGGTGGATAGAATAGCAAAATAATTCTTTTCAATCAATGTGATACCTTATCGTATTAGCCTAAAAGATAAAAAGATGGACTGGCTTCTTTTCCAAAACTTAATGTAGTTATATTTTCTCACATCTGAGAGAAACTCTCCTTAGATGTAATGTTACAGGATAAACTAATAGGTGAAGGAAAATGGCACATTATAATGATGATGATGTTGATGATAATAATAATAGTAGTAATAGTAGTAGTAATAGTAGTAGTAATAGTAGTAGTAATAATAATAATAATAATACAGAGTATAATAATAATAATAATAATAATAATAATAATAATAATAATAATAATAATAATAATAATAATAATAATAATAATAATAATACAGAGTCACTAATCCTGGCTGCGCAAGAACAAGCTATTTGCACAAATGCCATTAAGGCCAAAATCGAAAAATCCTCTGATGATGCCAAATGCAGACTTTGCAAAGAAGCTGATGAAACTGTTGATCACATGCTCAGCTNCTTAGATTTTTTTTTCCTATCGAATATCTTAACTCTTGAATGTAATCTTTAATCTTTAACTCCACAGGAGCACAGAATACAAATTGTAGCAGAGAAGCGGGAGGGGGGTATTCTTCAATTTTCCTGATGAGGCTTTTTGAAGATGCACCCCACATGACACCGTAGGGAATTACAGATTGGACACTGGGTTGGGGTAGTTGGGGGGAGGGTGCTGGGTAATTGTTTGATATATACTTGTTCGCACCTTGTGGGCTCAGATCTTGCTTTTCTTTCGCTGCTATCTTTTCATAACCTATAAAAGTATCTTAAATTCCATGAACAATGGAGTTGGGAGTTTTCTTTCTTGGTTATTGATGGAGGCACGCCTGACAAAATCTTTTTGTCCCTCTCTGTGATACTACCAAGTATCCTGTAGTACTATTAATATATTATTAATATATATATCTGCTCTTAATCAATCTAATCTGGTCAAGTTATTCAGTATATAATAAAGATTACTGTAGATATGGATATAGATATAATAGATATAAATATTCTATATATTCTATATACATGCTATATAAGTTAAGATATATGCCAATATAAATCTATGTTAATCAGTATGTATATAAATTTAGATATAAGTAAAGATGTAAGGATATTAGTATGTCTGTTAATCAATCTATAAAACTATAAATCTAGATACAAATCTAAGTTTCAATATAAATATGAGTAAAGATATAAGTAAATAAATAACTAACTATATAATTGGTGTAATACAAATTTAGGTATAAACAGTTGTGGATTTTCTGATTGTTGGTTCCTGGGTTACTGACTTAACCACTTTATATTTATGCTAAATATGTATAAATATTTCTTTAAATCTTCTTAGTTAATTTGATAAATTAATAACTGATCCCTTGGTAGTGTTATAATCAATGTCCAATTGTTCCTCCTTGCTCCTTCTTGGTCCTTTGTTAATATTATATTATATTATATTGTTTTTATCCTCTTTAATCCTCTTTCTCCTCCTTATTCAACTCTGAGTCCCTCTGCTCCCTCTCTGCTTTACTTTTGATCTCTATGCATCTCTCATCTCTCTATCCGTCATTTTGGAATGCCAATTTCTTCCTCCAACCTCGGTCTGTGATACTCATCTCCTCAGTTCCCTCTCACCAAAGCTCACGCTTGCTGTTCCTTACCTTTCTCACTTTTCTCCTGTTGCTCAGGCTCACCGAATCTCTTTCTCCACTTCTCCTTCCTCCAATTCTGTCTCCTGTTGAACTCTGGTGTCTCAAGATTTTTTGTCTTTTCTCCTCTATGCAATTTTACGGTAAGTTTAGTATGCTGAGTCACTGCTCCTCCCTCCGGGTTGCCGCTTGTTCTTCAGGGGAATCTCCCCGCAGTTGGAGCTATCTTCTTTTCTGAATAACCAGGACTTACTCTTACAGTCAATTATCGCCATTACAGCTCTGGGATTTTGACCAAATAAATGCCACAGCCTGTTAAGTAAATCTTCTCTTCCTCAGTCTCTCTGGCCCGTCACGGCCTCGGGTCCGCCATAACACAATGACAGACATTTTCCTTCATTGCAGCGGGTGATCGCCTTTCACTTTGCTGCCCTCCAGGCTTCCCCTCTATTCCGCTTGGCTCTCCAGGCTCACTGCACCGAGGGGTCCCCAAATGTGAAATATTTGGGATCTAGGAACAGAGACCATTCTCTTTCCCCGGCACTACTGTGACATCACCCCTGGAAGCCCTTGCCACATGTGTTAAGTGAATCACTGCAGTTAAGTTAATGATTAAGTGAATCTGGTTTCTCCATTGACTTTGCTTGTCAGACGGTAGCAAAAGGGATCCCAGGATACTGCAACCGTCATAAATATGAGTCAGCTCTCCAGCATCCGAATTTTGCTTTTGACTATGGGAATGTTCTAATGGTCATAAATGTGAAAAATGGCCATGCCACTTTTTTCAGTGCCATTATAACTTTATACTGTCATTAACTGAACTGTTGTAAGTCAAGGACTATCTGTGTAATATAATTTTTTAAAAAAGATTTCAACTCTTATCTAACTCCACATTTCCATAGATGCTATTCACTTCTGATTCTCCCACATTTCCTTAGAACTGAAGTCTTCAATTTGTAATGTTCCTTTTCTATTGGAGTGTGACATTTTGACTAAAGCATAAATGCTGATGCTTATGATTGAGATCTATCAGAAAATGCATCTTGATTTGTTTACAGAATCTAGATGTGCATTTTCAGATTTGTATTGTATTTTATTAGCTATGTAAGGGTAAACCTGCTCCTTGTTTACATTTTCCTTGCAGTCTCAGGACAAATGAGTATGGATATGTACAGTGACATGATTTGAATATTTATTTTGGAATGTCAAACCTTTCTTGCTGGGCAACAATCAAGAGTAGGCTATGATATCCAAATTTATTGTTTTGTTCTTTTTTAATCCCTCTATGCCATTCAGGGTTGTGAAGGAGTAGGTAGCCTGAAATTTAAATTCAAAAGAAATGAATGTTTTCTAGATAACTGGATTATTATTATTTTTTGAAAATTAGAATGTTACAGAAATGAGAAAGCATGCCATTCCTTATTAAATATACCATTCATTGGAATCTCAGTGAAACTGTCCAGCTTTTGCTTTTCAGCTATTCTTTGCATGACTTCTGTTTACACTTCTGCTTTTCAAAAGTGCAGTACTATAGTGGTCCTTGGTCAGGTTTATCCCATTAAATATTTCTGACTGGGTTTTATTTTGTTTCAGTGCGAAGTAAATTGAGAGAGCTAGTGGGAGCATCCACCAATTGGAGGTATGGTATTGTATATATAAATCATGGTACAATTGCATTTCTTAGAGGTTAGGGTTAGGGAATGCAATACAATTTATTCTTGCAGATTAATAATGCCTTGTAGCTGCTTAATAGAGTAAACCTATGATTTCAATGACTAATGGGGGAGTGTGTGAGACTCAAATGCCAATTAAGTGCAAATGAGATTTTATACATGCCTAAACCATCAAACAAATTTTGCCCATTGCATCTGAAGTCTGATAAACTGAGATTTGATTGTTTTTACTCACATGACATAATCTGATTTTGCTTTACCCTTTCTCCAGAGACCATGTGCAAGCAATGGATGAAAGAAAATCCTTACATACACTCCTTGCTAAAACTCAAGCTGACCTGTCCCCTAGGAAAATGAAAGACAGCTATATAGAAGTTATTTTGCCTTTAGGAAGTCAGCCTGAAATAAGAGAAAAATATCTCAATATGCAGAACACAGTCAGGTAAGATACACTATTTCATTTTTCAATAAAATTAATTGTTGGTGCTGTAACATGCATACAGATTAATTGCTCTGTAATATTTTAGATTTGGTCGAATACTTGAAGACCTTGACAGCTTAGCAGGTATGTGTTACTTATATAATTTATTTTTTTCTAGTGATCTAGTAATAGGAATAGCTTTGAAACTGGCTGTTATCTTTTGCAACCACTGAACTGATATTACAATTAGCATTGTTCTTAATGACTATGGTTCCTTGGGTAAGATGAAAATTCGTAATGAAGTGCCTCAGTGGGATCCGTGAAGGAAGGTAGAAAAATTTATTGATCCTTTGAATTCTTTTCTCCCCATCTAGTCTGAAAGCAGTTATTATGCTTAATGAATTACATTGAGTTAGTTATTTAGAACTCCTTTAAAAATACAGATAACATTATTATGACTTTCTGCATAATGTATTATTTTGTAGCAATGAAAAATGCTTCTGGAATAAGTGAGCATGTCATTTTTTCTTTATTGATTCATTACTTATATACCACCTTTTTATTTGCATAAACTCTATAACAAACATATAGACTGAAAGCTGAATATTAAGTTCTGTGTAATCCAAATTGAAAAACAGTGCAATCAATAAACTGTTAAAAGTTTGGCAGCAGTTTTTGTTATTTTCCTGCTATTCCATTGTTTACTAATAGAAGAGAATATATATTCATGTACATCAGGATTGAACTCTCAAGACCTTGGTGCTTTCTGAACTTGATTGTTCATTTGTAGATGTTTCATTACCCAACTAGGTAACATCTTCAATGCTAGAAGGGTTTGCTCATTGTTTGTATATAGTCATAGTCATAGTCACTTTATTTGTATGCCGCCCTTTTCCCTGGGGGGACTCAGGGCGGCTCACAGTTCAAA